TGTCATTTTAATTAATAAATATTTTTTTGATTCAAAACAGACTTACTTTTGGGTTTGGGATTACCCTATACTATACTCTTAGTTGATGAACCAGAGGATGACGGGGTTGAGGTAAATGCTTATATCTCAAACATTTAGTTTACAGTTTTGTATACCTGTAATAGACTTAATATCAGACCTATCAATGGCACGACATGGTTATCCAGGTATCGGCATCTCTGCTTGTTTTGGTGGACCACTGCTTAGTAAGTCATTCATAATTACAATTATAATTATAATTGTCATTTTAATTAATAAATATTTTTTTGATTCAAAACAGACTTACTTTTGGGTTTGGGATTACCCTATACTATACTCTTAGTTGATGAACCAGAGGATGACGGGGTTGAGGTAAATGCTTATATCTATAATATAGACTATATTATATATATATCTATATTATATATATATATCTATTTTATAATTATGCTAAAAAATATTTTTAATTTTTCAAACTTATAGTTAGTGTACAACCTTATGGTCACTTTATTATACACGACGATATCAGTTAGTCTGATATCATCGCTGGTCTTATTTATATGCAATCGTTTCCAATCGAAACGATTTCACGGAATTTATTTAATTTCTATTTATTTGGTTTATGTCGTGTTTGCTGTACTCATTGAGTCTAATATTTTGTAAATATATTTTCCTTTTTTAATACAATACCATAGATATTGCATTTTACATACTAATAACTGACTAGTATCGTTTATGTATATTACAAAAAATTAATTTTATATATTAATTGTTTTTAAAATTTCATATTAATAAATTAATGTTACAAAACGTTTATGCCATCAATCATTTATTTAAATCGATATTAAATTTATGAATTTATTATGAAAAGTAGTTCACAGAAATACATGACAAATGACTAGAAAAGAGACATTTTTGTATTTTTAGAGATTATATTCATATAATAGGGAAATAATGAAAACGTGATTCTACTATATTATGCACAATATTCTGTACGACTACATGAATACAGTCATTGAATGTATGTTTGTGTGGACTCTTCCATAGATTTAATTTGAGTTAATTTTATGCATCGATTGACACACTCTGTAGTAAAATAAAAATATATGAAACATTGAATTAATGCAAATGAATTCTAACTTTAATAGTACAATGGGTTGTGTCCAACAAAATCAGTTAATTATAGAACTAATGCTTTTTTGTCAACAGTTTGCTATGGCCTACCATTTTGCGCACAATAGTCCGCATCTCCGACAACGGACTTGTATATCACTATCAAATTGTAATTAAATATTATTTTAATTTGTTAACAACTATTGATTGCAATACTAATTAATATATAAGTGTTGACATCATTAGCTGCCGGTTTCACAACAACTACAATTGCTTGCATACAAATATATATTTTTATTCATTCATATTCAATGTTACTGATCTGAACGACCAATGAATACATATTGCTTCCCCCACTTGACGTTCACTGATATATGCCATAAGTGTTGAACCAAACAGTAATACAAAGATTGAGAAAACAAAATGTGTAAATAATTTATTTATTAAATATTTGTCAATGAATTTAACACATCGCGTGAATTTGATCCAATATTTATCAATCAATTCAATCTCATATGTCTGGTATATAATGGCGTTAAAAATGTGATCATATGGTGACCTCCGGACAACTACTTGTAGTTAGCTATACCTCCGACTAATAAAACCAATAAACCCACAGAAATTAAACACTGGATATAACTATAGGGTCACCCAATAAATGGCTGGAATCGCATGTTAACCATCTGATCCACTGGTGGTGATTGACATCAAGAGTTATTAAAAGCAAGTATTTTGTGGTCAATATAAGGACTTCGAGTTTGAGGACAATAGTAGTAAAAAGTCTTTTGAAATGAATGACTCGATTCTCGTAGTCGTCATACGATTGCGATATAATGCAGTCATGTTTGATAATAAATGTCTCAATTGATACCATACTTGTTGTCAAATCTGTGAATATCTACTTATTTTTCAAACTCATATTTATTTTGAGTAAAACTTCAGTTAACGTATTTAAAATAATAATTATATTAAGTATTTATAGTTAAAATAGAATTAGCATTTATTAAATTGATATTAACAATGTGATATTAAGTTTGACACCAAATTGTTACATTATTTGTATTGCCAAAATTATTGCAATTTAATTAATTATTTCCCAATAGATTAGGTGTAACTAAACCTAAAGTGAAACATTGTGCCAAAACAACCATTAAACACAAAATATTAATTAATTATAAATTCATTTTGAACTAACTAATTAGATTTGGACTAACATTTTAGAAAATTAATTGAAAATGAAATGAAAATAAACTCATGCACTAATAAATTGTTATTTTGTGAGTTTAAAGGTTTTTTATGGTTAAATCAATAAAATGACAAAATATTACGCTATAAATATTTTTTTATGTAAACTAAAGCAATTAACATTAAATTTTAAGTTTATTTCCAATAAAAAAATTCAACTTTTCGTACAAACGCTTGTATTGACTCACTTCGGAAACAACTATAAAACAAATTAAATAAATCCATTCATTCATTCAGTTTTGTTAAAATGTTATTCAAAAGTAGGTAATCATAGGAGAGAGGTATAAGTCTGAAGCTTCTTCCATTGACTTATAAATTGGACACAATATTTTGACCTAACTTTTATTAAATTTTGGATATTCTGTAATTCGAAACAATTTATTTATATTTTAAAAAGTAATTTAAATATTTTAATTAATAAAAATGATTTTATTATAAAAATTGATTCATTTATTAATTATGAATTTAAGTGAATATTCTCTAACTTCTCGTCAATTCCTTTATATTTTGCATTAAAATAATCCGCAAAAAATTTGTAATCGTTTTGTTGAATGAGTTTTAGTTTGGAATCAAATGTGGGATCAGTTTTGAGAAAATCCTTATGAATAGACCATAAATTATATTCCGATAATACTTGTGAACACTCGGGTCTGTCTTTCCAGTGAGGGCCGGGTATGTGCGGGTGATTCCAGTTATGGTATGACATTGAATTCAATACTTGTATTAATTTAATCACATATTTGTTCATAACTTCATTGTCTGAATAATTTTCTAAACTACAGAATATATTAATATAAATAAAAACTCATTTAAATATTAATTCACATTTTCTTACAGTTTGTCCTCCAAATTAATCTCAAAAATATTTTCTGCAATTTTAGCCAAACTGTAGACATCTATCTTATGGTTATAGACAATTCCCTGACCAACTTCTGGAGCACAATATCTCAGGTCTCCTTTATCTGACGAGTGCTGGTGAACAGTAGCAAAACCAAAGTCACATATTTTGAAAAACCTGCCGTTCCTTACAGTCTTCGCCACTAATATATTGTCGGGTTTAAGGTCTCTATGAATGACCGGAGGATTCAATTCATGTAAATATTGAACGCATTCTAAGATCTCTTTGAATATATGACACGAAATGTAAAACTCGATTGAATTCATAGGTTCTTCTGGTTGTCGACCAAATACTTGTGGTTTGTATTGAAGAATATTCTGCAGACTATGGGACCACAACTCCATTTGAATGTAATACACATTGTCTTCAGACCATTGATCCATATATTGGACACAATATTCTGACCTAACTTTTATCAATTTTTTCATTTCTTCGTAACATTCCAAAAAATTTTGGTTATCTGTACAAATACATTTTAATATTGTACTCTTATAATAAATAATTGCAATATATTTAATACCTTTCAATTCTTATTTTCTTAACCGCATATTTGTGTCCATCATATTTTGCTTTAACTACAAATACTTCCCCAAAAGCTCCCGAACCTAATGAATGCAACTCTTCGTACAAACGCTTGTATTCATTCACTTTGGAAACAACTATAAAACAAATTAAATAAATCCAATCATTCATTCAGTTTTGTTAAAATGTCATTCATAAATACTACTCAAAGTCAGAAGCTTACTAATGAGTAAATTTAATTAATTATTCATTTTTGCATAAATTAAATTAAAATAATTTTTTACGAAAGTTTAATTGTTTGAATGATCTTTAAATTCAAATTATAATGAGAGTTGGATTTAAGGTTAGAAAAGAGACAATGGTAAAATGTACTAGTTAATTAAAATAATTTCTTAACTAATAGCAAAGAAATTTGCATATATTTATATTAATCTTGCATATTTGGTTTATTTACGGTACAGTAAATTAAGTTATTACTCAATAGAGACCTTGATCAAATCAAACTGCTTGCTTTATGTTGCAATTTGGGACACAATTCATCGGATAATATACGGGAACCACAACTCATTGCAGACATGACTGGTATTAAGACTATCATTTCCGGTGGTGTCACAACTTTCTTCTTATCAAACGATGGATTCATTCATTTTTGTGGACAATATAAGAATGAAAATAACGAATATTTGTTTCAAATGTCACCAAAAGTATTAAATACTGATAAAAGGTTTACAGAAATGGCTGTAATAATCTCCAATAAGAATTATGTGTGTTGGTTTAGGGCTATAATGAATAGGAAAATATATCGCATTTATAGTAAACCAAACGACAATATAATTGAAACAAATTACACAAATTTCTTCGACTGTTTAACAAATGAGTCTCAAATGACTCATAAAACCATTGATTTGTGTGATTATAAGGAATATAATTATAAGAATTGCGAAGAATTTATTGCAAAATGTTTGGATTATTTG